TGCTTGAACGACGTGGAGCAGAGTTGCAGAGTCGCAGAGTACAAGTGCTGTCGCGTGCTGAAAAGTACCAATTTCCGCACTTGTTAGGTAAATAATAATACTGCAACAATGAATATGTGATATCCAATCATTGATGAATGTCTGCTTGTTCCCTACATGGATTCAGTTATCAAAATTGTAACAATCACCACATTCGGAGCATGTACTTTCACACTTGAATGATACATAGGAGATTTTGAGACTGATGAATACTGAGTGTCCGAAACATGTTTTTCCTATATTTCTAAACACCACAATGGAGTTGATATGCCTCTGATCTCATTTCCTATTCACCTATTCGATTCATCAATTTTGATTTGGGAATATATAATCGATTTGCCCCAAAATGTCACTTCGTTTAACAAATGTTTCTATCAAGGGGCCTGCAAGAAAAATTCAGTAGCTTATCTTTGGACGTTTCGTAAACGAATCTGCTCCCAGCTGATGAAAGCAATGCTACAGTCATCATGGACAAAATTGGATACGATAATAAAATTGAACAACTTACTGATGAACGATGGCAACTATACACGAAATTGAATAAAGATTCTACGGCGAACATTGAGAGAAAGATAAGCTATACCACAGCCGTCTTCAACTTACTATTAAGAAACACGAAAATCAACTAACATGCACTTGCGGAGAGGAAGAACATCTCCATATATCACATCAGCAAACCACTACATTTTTACGGACTTCCAAAAATACATAAACCAAATATTCCTCTGAGACCAACAGTGAGTTCAATTGGATCTCCATGTCAAAATATAGCGAGATTTCTTTTGAATATTATCAATCCTATTTCAGGGAATTCTTGAAAAAAAAATTGAACGATATCACATTGGATATAAATGACACTGTTAGTTTTGATAAAGTGAGTCAATTCACGAATGTTCCTGTGGATGAAACTTCACAAATAGTGAAACATAATTTGGAAGATGATGAAACTCTTACTGGGAGAACCAATCCGAGTCCATATCGAAGGAATTTTGGAATTTTTGGAATTATGCCCTAAAACTACATATTTTCGATTAGATGAAGAGTTTCATCAACTGAGTTTTGGCATGGCTATGGGCTCACCACTATCTACAATTTCGAGCAATTTGAGCAATATACTCATATTACTCATGTAGATTTCCGAAAGAAACGTTATTAAAAGTCACGAAAAACAACCAAAAACGTGGTGGAGAAACCTAGATGACATCTTCATGATTTTTCCACATAACCTTATGAAACTGAATAATTTTCTAGAGTTTCTGAATAACGAAATCCACCACATTGAAGATGTTCTTCAACTCAACTCATATCCAAAGAACTCCATTGATAGAACGATTCACCAAATTGAAAACAAACAAAATACACCACAACGAAAACAACCATCCATAACGATGAGTATATTACCGCACATTCCCGGCATATCTGAAAAAAGGAAAAGTGTTGGTGATAACTTTCAAGTGAAAACTGTGTTCAACACTGAAAATACAATGGGATCCATGCTACCTCATACACAGCCAAAAAATGTAGAACAATCATCATTGAACTGTATTCATAGTATACCTTGTGTTTGTGGAAAGTATTATACAGGTGAAACGAGAAGACCTCTCTCAGTAAGGACTCAAGAACACAAGTACTATATCAAAAAACGACATATTGATATATCATCATCATTGGAAAGGAAGATAACAACCAAAAAAGAAAAATCAAGGAATCCGCTTGCATTCTTCTGAACGAAGACAATAGCATTGCTTCCTCTTCAGTTGATATAGATAGAACATGGTAATCACTACTGACAACTGAACATGAAAATGGTAGAGTCAAGATCAATCAATGAGAACATGCGCCTCCAACTCATTTGTAGACTAAAATCACTCATTTATATGCGAACATCAGTATGACACTGAGAAGTGTCAAACTATAAGCAGAGCGCGACTTCCAAAGAAGAATATTTTGTATTTTCATGTTGAGAACGGGAGCAGATTTGTTCCCGAAACGTCCAAAGACAAGTAAAAATTCGATATGTTTTCAATATAACTATATTTTTTTTCTTCAAACATCTTTTCAAACGAATTATCACTGACAAGCTACTGGACTTTTCTTTTAAGCTCCCTGATAAAAGAATGTATTAAACGCAGTGACATTTTGGGGCAAATCATCTGATTTGTCCCACTACAAATATATTGGAATAATACGCATATTTTTATTTTATAAAAACGAGGAGAGAAAATCCCAAAAATTCAAGTGAAATAAAACAGCAAGGTTTCAACCTCCAGGCATACTTGAGACTTCCTTGGTCCTATAAAGAGCCCAACAGAAATCGAGATTCATTGTGATGAAAAAATCGAGACATATTCTTTCTCGTGGCAACTCGTGCCCTGAGCCGCATATGTGCAGTGCATACCACCCAAGTTACTATATAATGAAACAATTTCAATCTATCAATATATAATATTGAGGTGCCTCGTTTTGATATGATCACGTAGGTATCTGACAAAGAACCAATTCCACATTTCGGTATACTCGAAATACGAAATGCACTTTGAATCATACAGCAGCTAAAAACAATTTTTTTGGGGTTCTACATCCAAAAATATACTTCCTGTTCCCCTCTTGAAGATTGTTGAGAGATGGATGATTCTGCTTAGGGTCCAATAGCGCCATAGACCAGTGCTAATGCGATATTTTTCCTTCAATACCATCGAAGATTATCTCTTAGATTGATAAATAGGATGACTAGACGAGAGGCGAGACGGATGATGCGATTCCCTTTCAGCAGAGCAGCTGAATCAACCTTGAGGTAATGGAATAAGATCTGAACCATACCGTTATAAACATTGGAAACAGCATCTCTCTCATACGAGGCAACATATAATAACGGTTCATGATCATGAGAGTTCAATATGCTATCTGAGAGAATTATGTGGGAGGATAATCCAATACTAAAGAATAGGTTACACAGTAACCCACTCTTCAGAGTATAGTGGCGTAACTTCAAGATTGGGGTTCAGATACAAATATTGCCGAATGTTTTCATTCTGAAATATAAATATCAGAAGCGAATGCAGCAGGAAATCTATGAAGAGGAGAAGATTAAAGAAATTACACCGAAGGCAAAACTTATTTTGTTTCATGCATGGTCAAATACGTCTGAATCTTGGCGATGAGGTGATTGGTACCTTTAGGAGAGAGTATATATTATACTTTCGCTAGTTTTGATCCTTTCTTGATTCGCGCTTGATGAATTATGGGATATAGGTAATATCATGAGTTTGAGATCTCTCTCAATGAGTAGGTATTCGTTACACGAATAATTTCGCAGTTTCAAGGTGAATTCATTTCGGTGTTATTTTACTTATTATTCTGACTATAATGGCATTAACCAGAAGGAAATCAGTTGTTATTATTCTGTCATCTTTGAGTGTTTTGAACATTTAGCAGTTCTCTATTTATTTATTCATTTATTTATTTATTTATTCCAATAAGGTCAAAATACATGACATGTGGATAAGTCAAAAAAAAAACTAAACTAGACAGAACGAAAAGCAATTACACTAAAATGAATATAAAATGTTACATAGGTATTGGAAGATGTCCTTTCAAATAGGATGACGTGTTATTGCTCGAACGTATCGACGTTTTGTTTCAACGTATAATAGTGGTTGTAGATCAATCAATTGAATGTTATGAATTGTTGGACATGAAACGTCTGAATAACGTATTATTCTCCCGTTTGCTACATTCAAATTTCAACTCTGAAATTCTTGATCATCAACGTTATTTCCAGATGATTCCAACCGTTATTCAATGTTTTTGAAGCGAGTATGTGTTTACTGAAATGTGTGATATAAAATTCACACGATGTTCTCTGAATAATATAAAAATTCTCTTTCGTTCGCTACAAGAGATAAAAATAACATGTTGATTCCATCATTCGTTATCACAAACTCTTCACAAAATATCGAAAAATATTGTATTCTTGTTTGTATGAATCTAGGGCAGCTGTACAACGTCAGACGTCAATGCTGCGATTTCTGGCATTCTATACATCAACTACCGAAAAAGTCTATAAATTTTTCGAAAACTGGCAAATATATCCTCAATGGAGTATATATATTTGAAATCTCAAAGTAAAGCTCTACTCATCAGGGTTTTCCATTTTGAAAATACCATGTATGTAAAATGTTCAGGTTAACGATGCTTTTTTGCATTTCCTAGTACTGAATTCTGAAAGCACATGAAATTTGAACGATTTTGTAAAACAGATAATATCAACTGAGAGAAACATGAGCAATCACCTTGTACACTGTTAGTATCTTTGTATTAATTTATGGTTCAAGATGAACATGTGCATATTTGGAGACTATGATTCAATAATTGAATATTCTGAAGTACGCAATGATATTCAGAGATGTCGATCTACCTCTTCATGAAGAATATTTCGAATATCAATGTGATATTTTGGATATTTTGTATTTATTCTGTTCTAGATGGAAAAATAAAAAAAAAACAATTCATCATCCATCAGTTGCCAAGGGTATATACCAAACATTTCACATTATAATCATATATTATTATAATCTTTTTAGAACTCAAATTATTTCACAAAGAAACTCTTTCTGTAATCATCATTTCGTGTTAGACAAAAATAATGATATTTATTCTTGATATTTGAAATTATGTATCTATGATAAAAAAAATTAAAGCAATAGCTGCGGACACTTAATTTGGATGGCCCTGTTTTCATCATTATACTAGTTTATACTATTCTTCCTATTTCGAATGGTTCAGGTATTCTTCATTCCGTGCCCTCAAACAATAACGTCACAATTATATTGTTGTCTCACAGAACATGATGCAATATCTTGAGAACCTAACGGAATTTTTCGCATTTCTTTTACATTTTTCCATATCTACTCTCCCTGGGTGCTCATAGAAGCGGAAAGTGGATAACTGTTGGTGTCCCATTTGGGTGTGGACAAGGTTATCAGTCACTATATAAAGTACAGAGTAATTGCAATAAACTGTATCACTTGTTCCATATCAACAGAACAGAACAACAATGAACTCTTTGGTAAGTACCTATTCATTTCTATATTATATGCTTCAATGCACTTCCATTTTCACTAAAGTAACAAATATAGTCATGAACTTAAAGAAATCATTTCAATTTGAAAACAATCTGTTCTGTTTTTCGAACTTATATTCACTGATATCATTTTTGGTGTAATTTCAGCTAGTTATTATGGTAACATACTCAATAGTTAGAAAACTAATGGGGAATATTTCGAGTAAACCATTTCTTAGATTAACTTGTTCGAATCTGAAACTTTGGATGAAACAATTGACTTCCATCGATATGTGATGTGTTATCTAATGACTGAAATTCAACGAGAATTGTTTCTCTGGAAATTTTAGCTGTCAGAAATCATTGATTGCACTAGGATATCTCTGATTTAAATATTATGGTCATTTTATTAGTATGGTCAGTTGGTGTAAGCAATTATCCAAAGTAATTTCGAAAAGAAAGTCAATTATATTTTCAATTTCATCATGAGATTTGATTCTCGCATCAAAAAACAGAGATCATTATCAACAAACCTTCATTCAAATAGGGTCTTTTGATGAGACCTTTGTGAATATTGGATTCAATATATTCACCAAAATTTAGCAATTATATTCCTTGCACTACATAATATATTGAGTCACTATGATTAATCACTACTTTATTGTTTCCATATTAATCATTATATTTTTAAAGTACCTAGATACAAAATGTCGAAATGATTTCTCAAAATTAAAACAATATTTGGTAAGTATGGAATCTTATATACCTACTGAAGAAAACTTTGATATTTGCTTCTACAATTGAGTTACCATAAGTTACTTGAAGATAATTCAATGATTCAAATCTATATAAAATTTTTTTTTGAATGATGGTTGAAGTGAGTCGGTCACATCTGATGATTCTCGTCAATTTTCGAAATGATAATTGAGAAAAATTGTAGTTTATTTACCGAAAATCGTATTGATTCTGACTCATCATTCCTATCTATATTCTCAATCAAGTTATCGCCGCCAACATAATCAATACTTGAGTTCAAACAGTACTTATACGTTATAACTTATATAGATCTTTCATTGCTCTCTAAACTCGATTCAGATAACACAGAGAAGCAGTTTATATCAGTCGGGACAACGTGTTGTGAAGTAGAAACGGTTTTTCATCAGTCTATATTCAAGAATATCAATATTGTCTTGTTTGATATGTATATTTATTTTTTGTGAAACTACAGCAAGCTAGTCTGAAGCGAGTCGTGGTTTTCACGCCATCCATGTTATTCTCTTTGATATTTGAGTAAAAAACATAACTGTCCTTCTCAGGCCGTAGCTGTCCTTTTCGGCGTCGTAGCCTACGCTAGCGCTGGCGGTCTTGGTCTCGTTGGAGACAGAGGAGCCCTAGAAGGTGCTTTGGGAGGCCAATGGATCCCTGATGTAGGACACGGCGGAATCGCCGGAGCCGGAATCGTGGGCGGTGGAGTCAGCGCCAAGGGTGCCCTTGAGGGAGCCCTAGGTGGACAATGGATCCCTGATGTCCCAGTAGCCCACGGTGCCGCTATCGCTGGCCCCGGACTCGGTCTCGGTCTCGGTTTGGGAGGAGTCGGACTTGGAGGAATTGGTTTGGGACATGGACTTGGTTTGGGTCATGGACTCGGTTTGGGAGGCATCGGCTTGGGAGGCATTGGCTTGGGAGGCATCGGCTTGGGAGGCGTTGGATTGGGCGTTGGCCATGGGGTATCCCGAGGAGCTGTAGAAGGTGCTCTTGGTGGTCAATGGATCCCTGACACCCACGGCAAATAGATGTTTCGTTAGTGTTGATATGACTGAATTTTGTGTACCTTTCTTCCAATGTCTTTCTTTCTTTCTTTCTTTCGACTATTGTCTTCTTGTAAAATACTGTATGATTTCTCTCGAATAAATGTCGGTACCTCTCTACCTCTTCATGGCGCTTCATTTCAAATACTCCTTATTTATGCATTCGAAATTATAATCATTCAGATTCAGAATGTACTATAATGAAGAATGAGACAGACACTCATTATACAGTGTGGAAAACTGTAATGGAAGAAAATCCGAATCTCCATAATGATAAATATATCAATACATTTTTAGAAATCCTCGAACAGGTCGAATATATTATATAAAAAATGTTTGCCAGAATAACGTATACCATAGATTTCACAGGGTGAACTAGGGACCAAAATAGGCCGATTGATATCAACTCACCTGTTTACGAATGCACCGTGGAGTTGTGACGAGAGCGCGATGAAGAATAATTTCAATTCCAGATGATCTTCAATGTTTGAAAATCCTTGAAAGGTATTGCTCTGGAATTCATTGGGTAATTAACTATCATGAATGTGTATGAAAAACATATTATACCAATCCATTCAATATACAGGGCGATAGAATTCTCGCCAAAATCAATTATCTACTTCAAGTTTAGTTGCGAGAAAAAAACACCGAAATGAATTTCATCAGATATATCAAAAACCAGGAAGAATTGTGAGAAAAATGCAGTTAGAAAGATGTTAGATAATTGATTTTTACCGAGATATCAAAATGTCTGAGATATTGGAAAATATCTATATCTCCCTGTATTCTGATCGAATTGGTATGATATGTTTTTCATGCACATTCATGATAGTGGATTGCCCTACGGATTTCTCAGCAGTAGTTCTCAAGGATCTGAAAATTTCAAGAAAATCTAGAAATAACATTATTCCTTATCGCCCTCCCATGGACCAACGGTTCCTTTTTCGTGAAGAGGTGAGTTGATTGCAATCGGCCCATTGTGGTCTCAAGTTCCTCCTGTAGAATGTAGGGTACGTTGTTCTGGAACACCTTTTATGTAAAAATTTTCATCCACCTGTCCACCTCATGCCTTAGAGATCGATCCCTTCAGAATTTTCGAATTGTACAAGGTCTGCTTTTTCCAAATTATTGGTTTTGGGACTGTTTCATTGTATTACTTCGTTAGCGACACAAAAAACACAATTCTAAAGAAAGTAAATGGGAAAAAAGAGTGGTTTTTTCATGAACTTTCCAAGAAAATATGACTTCTTCAATTACATGCCATACTCAGATTAGGTACACCCTCGTGGAGAGCATGTATTGCGAAATTAGGTTAGTGATTTTGTAACTGTAAAATCAATGAATAATAGCTTGTTTGATAGAGTACCATAGTCTACAGTCATATCAATAGAAATCCACCATCATTAAATCTGATGAAATGTCTTCATGCTTATATTAATTTTCCTTCTGGTACACCAAATAATCCATCTGCACCGAAAATCCTACTTCTTGGAACTCTTCATTACGAACAACACGTGAAACATTTTTTGGTTCAACTATTTTTTTCCATATCTTTATAAACCATTTTCTCGAGTGCCTCTCATAAAAACCAAGTGCGAACTACCTCATCAAAATCATTGCCATCACGTGAAAAGATTATCGGGGAAATTCGCCCAGATATTATATCATTTTCTTTAACATACGTATAAAATAATATGTACGATATGAGCCATAAGTGAAACATACATTGTAAGTATGATTCGGAAATTGAAGCGCAGTTGTTGTGAGATATGATGGTCAATACTAGGCCTGGGAAAAAAATCGATATATCGATAAATATATCGATATACCGATATATCGAAAACTGTCGTTATATCGATAACTTTCGAAAAATCGATGACTATCGATATATCGAAATATTGGTATACCTATTGATATAACCATCGATATATCGATAAATGAGGATTATGACGTTATCGATATATATTGATAACTATCAATTTTTTCTCAACATAATCAAGATGTTCTGAATATTCAAGATAGAGTTCTATCGTTGTATTGTTCACAAAATTGTGTTGCTGTACGGCATTATGAATTTTGTCCGGATGTCACAAAGAGCCACACAATTAAAATAAATTAATTTTACGGATATGTTGGGACGAAATTGATAGTTATCGTTATATCGATAACTTCATAATCCTTATATATCGAAATATCGATGGCTATCAATAAACCAATATTTCGATATTTTGGTATATCGATAAATCGATAGTTATCGACCTATCGATATTTATCATCTTTATCCAAATACAATATTGCCCAGTCCTAGTCAATACCCCGCGTTTCGCCTGAAATTTGATACTGAATATTGATTTTGACGTCACTTTCGTTCAAATGCCGATGGCACAATCACATGGACTCTAATTATTCCAATTGTATCGACGTAGTGTACTTGTTTTTCCGTTTTATATTTCGATCAATTATTCAGATGCGATGTCTCATCAATTGAAATTCAAATATATCGGAATTATTTCGAAATACTCCATTTTGTCGATTGAAAATGACTGAGAATGTGGTCAAACTGGAAGCACCTCATTATTGTCACTTTGCACGACCAACGAAATTACACTTCGAAATATAAGATTCAATGTTTCAACCTTTTGGAGCCACCCTTCACATTTTCGATTATTGCTGAATGAACAACGTTTTCCCATTCCACACAAGGTGAATATTGAAATTACAAGGGAGTATGTTCTTCTGCTTCTATTTGTTAGTGATATAAGCTAGTAGCCACTCCACTTTATAAGACATAATAATCAAGACACAACTGACATCGGAACAAAACAACGAATCTAATCCTCATTTAATTGTGAAAAGCCAAAACTCCTCCTGCATGAATTGATGAATTTTTGTCAGTTATATCAGAAACCAGTCCTAGACATGCGGGACCTCTTCTATTTATCTCATTATCCTGACATCGAGTTCAATCACCGTAGAAAAATCGGCGACTTCCACAAGAGATATTCTTCAGAAATGGAAAGTAGCACCAAGAGCTTATATAACCTCCAAAAGTTCAAAAAACAATCCAACACCTACCTCCTCTTTCTATCCTCCCTACGATGTTCCACGAACATTATTGGAATTTTCTTTCGTGCGCTCCAAGAGATGAAGAAAAGATGAATTCAAAATATTGTTATACAGGGTGTTTCATGAGAAGACTCACATAGCCATATGGTTGATAGGGGAAATCAAGACGAGTTGATGTATATATATGAAAACATTTTTTGATATTACAGAAATGATTCGTCGTATTATCTCTACTGAAACTATTCAAGGTAGCATATTATGAAGAAAAATATCCAGGTCCGGACTTGGGAACATTTTATGTTTTATTGTTATGTCAAAAAAGTTCACTTTGTGACCACTTTTCTCGAAAAATCCCATCATATTCAGAAAAATCAGACAAAATGCTATAAGAACTGCTCTTCAATTTAAATTTCAATTTAAAATTTCTTTATTGAACCGGTCAAAGTGTGCCATAGAATTTCATCTGATCTTCCTGAATCTGATGGAATTTTTCGGGGAAAGTGGTCACAAAGTGTACTTTTTTGATATAACAATGAAACATACAATTTTCCCAAGTCCGGACCTGGTTTTTTTTAATAATATCTTGAATAGTTCCAGTAGAGATACGTCGCTGCCAAATTTCAGCATATTACGACGAATAATTTCTGTAATATCGACCATCAAAGTTATATAGCAAGTTTTTCGTTCTGGAGGATCAAAAAATGGTTTCATATATATACATCAACTCGTCTTGATCAACCATTTGGCTATGTGAGTCTTCTCATGAAACACCCTGTATATAATTTGAGATGCATTGAAGATTTCTGATTTCAAAATATTTCTTTTTTGACCAACCTATGTTTATGAATTATTACCATCGAAGATGAAATTGTATGACTTATTTTTCCCAATTACTTCGTAGTTTTTGGACACCGGTACATGATAGTTTCGAATCAAGGAGTTTTTGTGCTTGAAAATCATAGTAAGTACACAATCTATACTTCAATGTATTTTCTAGAGGGCACCGTACATAAGCCATTTTTGTGGCGTAAATTTATATAACACATTTATTATTTTTGTTCTTCAAAAGTGTACGCTATCCATGCTAGAAATTGAACGTAGTCATAATTCGAATTCAATTTATTATTGGAAATATCAACATAATATAGGTATCTATCATAGGGATTATCATGACATGCAGTTTTCCATCAATAACGAACAATATCATGTTATTGAATATACTACAGAAGTAAGAAATAATGAATTGAAGGATATTCAGCTTGCAGAATCATCTTCGACGTCTACATACTATGTTCACTGCATCCCCTTCATTGTGAGATAATAATAATAATAATAATAATAACTTTTTATTCACACAAAAAAATAACTACAAGAAAAATGTACCACAAGATGAGTACAGTTGTGAATAAAATATACTCGATAAGTGATAATTCACTTGTTTCGAGATAGATAATAATAACTAATACTAATTCAATAGCGTTTCGAATAGTTTACCTATAGATATAATAATGACAATAACGAAAAAAAAAAAAAATAAATACAAAAAAAAAAACGAAAAACGAATGAGACAGTACAAAAGTATTAAAAGTAATTGCTATAAATTGAAATACAAATTGAGAAGAAATGCATAATACACTTGGACCTTGATACAATGATCAATTAAAATAATTATTTATCATACTTCGGGGATTTATTAAGATAAACTCCCTAAGGTTCTTTTTGAAAGATGATATATGTGGGATGTTCTTTATATTTTCCGGTATCGTATTGTATAGTTTTGGTGCAAAATAAGAGTATGATCGTTGGGAAATAGTTTTGAGCATCAATGGTGTTACGTAATGATGTTTTTGACGAGTGTTGTGATCATGACGTGGAAGCTGTGAACATTTTCTATTCACGTGGTACTTGTTGCCTACGCAAAAGAAATAGAGCTGTCTCAAATCTAGTATCTTCGATTCTTCGTAAAGGGCGTTAGTTGGGTACCTGGGATTTTTAGCGAATACTAACTTTAAAAATCTTCTTTGGGTAACTTCTAAGGAATGTATGTGTGTTTTCAGACTTGCTCCCCATACAATTATGGCATATCTGAGATGGCTTTCAACTAATGAGAAGTATAAGGTCTTCAGATGCTCAAGCGGTAAAATATCTTTCAATTTTCGAAATTTAAATAAAATACTACGTAGCTTATTCGTTACATATGATATATGGAAATTCCATCTCAAATGTGAATCGATTATCACTCCTAAATATTTGATTTTTCTGTCCGGTAGAATGTAGAACCTGTCTTCACCAATGCTAATTTCCAATTGGTTGAAGGAAGGGGTATCTGTCGAATTGCAGCAGAAAGGCAAATACAGTGTTTTTTCAAAGTTTACTGTTAATAGCTTGCTATCTAGATACTTCTTTATATTTGAAAAATCTTTTTCAGCATCAGATTTCAATTTTGTCCAATTTTCTGAGCTATAAAAAATAGCTGTATCATCTGCAAAACCAATCATGCTACCTTTGCTCCCTAACGAGAATAGGCCGTTAATATATATATTAAACAGTGTAGGGCCCAGTATTGACCCTTGAGGAACTCCGTATTCAATAGTTTCCGGACTACCGCAGACACCATTCACCCTTACAACTTGTAGTCTATTGGTTAAGTAACTTTCAAATAATTTGAGACATTTTCCACGGATACCAATATCCTCCAAAACCTGTAACAGTAGATTGTGACTAACGGTATCGAAAGCTTTTGACAAATCGATGAATATGGCTAAACATGGTCTACTCTCATTTAAAGATTCTGTGATTTTTGAAGTCAATGTTAATATAGCGTCCTCGGTTGATTTTGCTTGCCTGAATCCATACTGTTGGTCTGTTATGATGTTGTATTTATTGAGATACGAATGTAACCTATTTTTCATTATTTTCTCTAGTACTTTGGACATGTGGGTTACTAGGGATATGGGTCGATAATTGGTTATTTCGGTAATATCGCCTTTTTTGAACAACGGGGTAATAATTGATTGTTTGAATGCTGAGGGGTAAACGCCTTCGTCAATGCATTGGTTTATTATATAAGTGAGTGGTTCTGAAATGTAGCAACATAGCGACTTGATAGTTTCTGCTTTCAAATTATCAATACCTACTGCTTTTCTATTCTTGAGTTCTGAAATTACATTTTCAATTTCTTTTGTATCTACAGGACTAAAAACGAATGAATTGGGGATGGTTTGTCTCTGGTACTGAAATTGTGGATCTATTTTTATTTTATTGGCTAGGTTTTTCCCCATACCAATGAAAATCCTATTGAATTCATTTGCAATATCGTGCTCCTTTGTTAATAAAGCACCAGTTTGACTTTTTATTTTTGCAATGTCTTTCTTGTTAATATTTGTTCTACTTATTTCTTGTACAACATTCCATAGATTTTTTGAATTATTTTTATTTGAGTTAATTCTTTCATTATAGTAATTAAATTTACATTTTTTTAATAACGCATTGAGTTTGTTTCTATATACTTTGTATTCTCTGTTTATTTCTAAATTATTTGGTTCTTTTTGCGCTTTCAGGAGTATTTTGTTCTTTTTGTTTATTGAATTTAGAAGGCCGTTGGTCATCCAGGGTGCGATTTTATCACGTTTTCGGCGGAACAGACGTTTTTCTGTACATAATTCAAGAGCCTCGTGAATAATATTCATGAATATATTTGTGGTAGTTTCAGGATTATCCGAATTGTATACGGGGAACCAAGATATCCCTCTAAAAACATCATGGAGTTTGGTGTCATTAATGAAGTTGAGATGTTTCTTATGATTTTTTGTATTTTCGATTTCCTTTCCCTGCATAACTTGCAGAATTGTGGTGAAGTGATCCGTTATCTGCGTTTTGAGTATTAGGGGTAAGATATCATCTCTTATGTCTTCTCTACACTTGATAAAAATATGGTCTAAACAAGATCTTGTATTTCCCTGAACTCTAGTTGCTTCGTTTATAGTAGAGTTGTAGCCAAATTCATTTAAAATGTTCAAGTACTCAACAGTAAGTTTATCGTCCGCTTTCAGCAAATCAATGTTTATATCACCTATAAATATACGTAGATTTCCTTCGCCATGATCATTATCTTCTAGAAATTTGTAGAGTCCTGCATTGAAATCAAGTACACTTGAATTTGGTGACCTATAAAATGCTGTAACAATAACAAAATTGTCCGCTTCCGTATTTATTCGTATTTTGAGCGCTTTAATATCATTGAAAATTGCGATAGAATTGTGAGTGTAATGTAATGATGATTTGATATAGGCTACCACTCCATCATTTTGGTTGTAGTAGCTTTCGTTATATATCACGTTAAATCCATTGATATGAAACAAACTAAGATCTGGTATTTCTCTGGTCTCACTCAAAACTATACAATCGAAGTCACAGTCCATATTTTGTAAGAATATTTTAAATTCATCAAGATTTTTGCGGATGCTTCGGATGTTCATATGCAATATTTTGAAATTGTTACTGTTTTTATTTACCATCAATATCTCGGAACATTCATTAGCTGTATCGATACTGTAAGTATGAATCGGTTTTGCATCAAAGTCACGTATATATTGATCCATTCCTAAACTTTGATAACAATTTTTATTCTCGAAATGTTATTTATTCTGAGGTATATATCTATTCAAAAAAGTATTTCCACTCTGTATATAAATGTTAATTCTCAAGACGTGAATAAGAGAATTGGAAAAAAAAGGTTGAAAATAAATTTAAGGCAAGAAATAGTATAGAAGTATAGATACCTAATTAAAAAAGAAAATATGTATATGATACTGATAAGATATCGCAGCAAAATTCACACTAGCACTAGTTTAGTATATGGGCTTGAATTAGGGTTTATTTGGATGATGTCGAGTTATTACGTGTCTTAATTATGTTCCCAGATCTAGTATTAACTATTTTGTTTATCGGTGTTTCTTTCACCTCTGGAAGCGTACTTTCCTGTTTCTTCTCTTCTTTAGATTTCCTTGGAATTTCAATGGTGGGCTTCTGAATTTTACCTATCTTCTCAGTTTCCAATTTGTGGTTGTCTTTTTGCTGCACAGTGGGTGTAGATGGGGCACTTTGTGGTCTTATGTCAGTGTCAATATCTTCTAATTCTTCGATAGTGTATCCTTTGTTCCCTATATACAGTTTGTTTCCACTAATGTAGCTTTTCTCAGATGATGTGTTTCTAGTTTGAGTCAGGTATTTCCTCAGGATTTTGTTTTCTTTCCTCTGAATCTCTGTTTGGTCGGTGGAAATTTTGATTTCAGAGTTTTTCAGCTTGTATCCCCTGCGTAAAATTTCTTTCTTCTTTAGTTCAGACACTAGTTCCACTTTAAGTGGGGCTGTTTCAGAATTGCCAAGTGAAAAAATATTGCTTATGTCTCTCTCTTCTATGTCAATATCGAGTAGTTGCTTAATGGTCTCACAGAAATATAATAGACTTCTCTCACCTGGTGCCTTATTCAGTCCAAAGATTATAATGTTTTTCTTCTTATTTTCTTTTTCCAGTTGTTCAACCTTGTCTTTCAATTTCTTGTTTTCCTCTTCTACTTCACGCACTTTATTTTTGACAGACTCCAAATTTAGTTGTATTCTAGTTTCACTAGCCTCGATTATATGTTTAAGTTCTGTTTTGGTTGCAACAAGTTCTTCAAAAATCATTTCTAGAGTAAAGTTTGTAGTTCCTTTCGCCATTTTTCATCAGCGTTTCGTACTTGCTCATGTACTATAACTGAGTGTTAGCCGGCGTAATCCTTCAATTTGATCAGTTTCGTATATTAAACGTTTTATATCAAATTTCATGTAGTCAAAATGAAGTATGTCTATCAACAATATATTGTGAAATAACTCACTGTTTCTATTTGGGTTTTTACACCAACTTTGGAAGATTTTTCACAGAGCTAACCAGGTATTTTGCTTGTTGTTGGAGATTGAACCTCGCGGTTTTCGCGGTCCTGTGTCACTTTTTTGTGAAACTCGAGATGGCCTCATCAGATTTTGCATAACTGTTTCCGTTTATGTGATACAAGAGATTTCGAGGATATATACTTTTTGGACCCCCTTTATATATACGAAGTTCTTCAGCGAAAATGTCAAATCGAATTCCTCATTTTGTATAATGTTATATAAAATTCCCAAAACTGCTCCAAAACCACTAGAATATTGGGTTTCAATAGTGTGCTATGGGATTTTAATATAAAAAAGTTCCAATTGAAGGAATCTTCCTTTTTATTTTTCCATGAAGAGGACGAAAACTTTACCAACACTGATTAACTAACAGGCAATGACTTGTCTGATTAACTAACAATACATAAAACTCAGGTGAAGATATTGACATGTATTATATGTATAGCCGTTCATGGTATCCAACAATTCGAACTATAAATAATTGTGTACATTTCTGGTAATGATTTTTGTTCCATCGAAAACCGGTGCTGGCAACAGCATTCCTTCTATTTTTTCTTATTTTTCGGTCGCGGAATCAAGCTGAACTATTTCGAATGATCTTGAATAAAAAATTTGGGCGTGAGCAAGGTTGTCATCTACTTATAAAATGGATTGATCGTCAAGTTTGGGTATCACTTGTTCGGGTTTCTGCAACATACAAGGTCCATCCAAAATGAACGCATACGTAAGTACATAAATTCAATATAATTATAATCATTCTCATGATTCTGACTGAAATGTTCCTAACAGTCACTGTCTTCCTAACGATTCTCAATTGTATACCTATATTTTCCTTCAATACCACGAGGTTTTCATGATGAGGAAAAATTCCTCTTATTCAATAATGATCCCAATATTTTAAGTTTGATTTCCGAGTTTTCATAGTCGCTGATTATAACTCACTGAAAGAAATATCGTACAACAAAAAGAATCATTGTGCTTACCTCAACTGGATCCAACAAACATGATTGACTTGTATACTGTATACTATATACTGCATACTGTATACTGTATACTGCATACTGCATACTGCATACTGCATACTGTATACTGTATACACTACACTACTGTATACACTATGTCCTCATCAGTATAAATGTATCGTATATGGATATGTTCATTTGAAAGGATATTTTTTTCAGTATGCTTATAATAATTTTTGATTGCCTGCTAATGTTGATTTCGAAGAATTGACTGTCAGAATATGACGAGATAACTGAATGATATACTATGTTTTATCAGAAAGTTAATTTTAAACCTTGATAACTTGAAATTAAACTGAGATCACACATCAATTTGATTCATCTGCATTCAACTCTGAAGGTATTCAGCTTTTGTTTACCCAATGATGCACTCATTGTATCCTGACACATAATTAAATCGACTAATAATATACAGTTTAGTCCGAAACAAATTCAAATTTAGATTGATTCTCTTGTTGATGAATGCGAATTTCAATGTCCTAGTCCGGCTTTCATCTATTCTCTTTTTCAAACTCGGAGATATACTCTGTGAATCACATATTCATCATTATTTTCATATTTTTTATTCCAGGCCGTAGTTTTTGCTCTTGGAGCTCTAGCTTGTGCCAGCGCTGGCGTTATCTCCACATCTTATGGATACGTCACCCCTGGTCTAGTTTCCGCTCACGGAGTAGTCTCACCGTATGCCGTTCCCTACATCGCCTCCCCCTACCTATCAACCCCCTACGCTGCTGTCCTGCCAGCCGGTAATGGACTCGAAGGCCAGTACGTCCCTGACAACCTCGAGAGGCTCTACGACGATGGTTCCTACAAGCCCGAAGTCCGCGCCCTACCTCTGGCCGCCAGCCCCTACGGATTGGTACCCGCTGGTTCGGGACTCGAAGGTCAATACGTCCAGGACAACCTCGAGAAGTTGTACGATGATGGTTCCTACAGGCCCGAAGTCCGCGCCTTGCCATTGGCTGCCAGTCCCTACGGATTGGTACCAGCTGGATCTGGACATGAGGGTGCCTATGTTCATGACAATAGCGAGCATTTGTTCGATGATGGTTCCTACAGGCCCGAACTCCACCATTAGATTTAGGATTGTATAGTTTGTAAAATAAAGGCGTTTGTTTGATAATTTTTTTCATTTCTGCCGAATCCGATTTCAAATTTCTAGTCAAAGTCATATTTTCCAACCCCCAAAAATTGCAGGAATATTATTGACAAGCTCTTCAGATTGATCAGGAGGGGTGGAAGAACTCACAATCACAACTACACCACATAAAATAATTTTTTAATTGATAATGACATAAGTAAGGACATGTTTCGAAGGATTAATCCTTTATCATCAGCAAATGTGTCAAAAGAAAATCTGAAAGAAAAACAATGCTAGTTTGAGTATTGATTGAGAAATCTAAATGTACCTACCATTATTGGTGAAAAACTTTAATTAACAGAAAACATGAACAAATTTTTTAATTTTGTTTTCAACCCCGCATAGTGCGGGTGAGCAAATGTTAAGGAACCATTATTTATAGTTCAAAAAGAGCTTAGTTTTCGAAGGTGAAGTGATACAATTCAATTATCAAAATAAACCATGTGGACCTGGATTTGTTGAATTAAGTTAACTAATCACAAATGATAATCGACAAATAACAAACGATGACAATGGCGAGATTGAGAAAAAGAAGTAGAGTTGACTTCATTTTTGTGAAAATATACCTACTGAAGATGACGTACGATAAAACATTGCAGTTCTGCGGAAGAATAACATGCCTCAGCATCTGCACATTCTAATTGGCCAAAATTTTTGATCATCCTGATCCATGGACGTTTCGTTAAAATGACAATAGATGAATTCATTCGATGCTGACTCCTGAATGCATGAAACTGAGTCGATTCCCAAGGAATATGATACGATAGGAAATAGAGATAGAGTTCTAAAATACAACAGAGCGTCGTCATCTACAGGAGAAAGAACACACAAATCCCTGCGAAATTGGGGAGATCACGAGAGTTTTTTCTATAGCTGCTAATATGATCAAGGTTTGTTCGTGAAATTGTTATGAATATTTCCATATAATGTGAAGTTTTGGGGACTGTGATTCAATACTGGATTGAGGAAATAAATAAATATGGAAATTAAAAAAAAAAACATTTCTATCAACATGCTCTGCTAGAGCTATTCGAAGGTAGGCCCTTTAATGCAGTTTTCTTCATTTATATTGGTTATATTTGTTCCTGTAGGAACACTTATTTCGGTTCCTAGGGGTCATTCGATCTAAGGAATAGCTTTGTGATACAAAACATGATTCAATATAAAGGCAGGTGCGAAACTCGTGACCGATGCTATAAGAATGCCCCAAGTTTCATTTTTCATAATTCATCTCAATCCTACTATCAGAATAGTATCCTTCGAACATTTTTATTCAAAAAAAGTAAGAATACCGTGTTTCATCTCGATGTCCGAGAAAATTCACAATGATTGGGCGTGTGTTCTTCAGAAAAAAATAACATGACTCAATTATCAATTCAACATTTCCAGTTACTTTTGTATCATTAGAGTTGATCGTGATGTTGATTGTTTGAGAAAATATTCGCAACAGAAATGTACTCAATTTCACAAACTTATTCACTCAACAACTAAACATCACATTCAACTCTAATTAAACAAAAGTAACTGCGAATGTAAAATCAGAATTATCATGTTTCAAAAATAAATCAAAATAAAAAACTACCCCTTCCTCGTAAACTGTTCGGTTTGAGGCATTTCAACAAGTATACCTTCTTCATGATGAAGTGTTCAAAGAATCATATTCTGGTAGTAGAATTGAGATTCATCTTGAAACAAAAAAGCTGGTGGTATTTTATAGCATCAGTTATATACGAGTTCAGCACCTTCCTGTATATTAAATCATGTTTTCCATACCACGACCAAGACTTTTTAGATCAAATCACCCCCAGGTACCATTTCAATGTTGAATGAAATTGTATTTATGGACCTACCTTTATCTGTAGAATTACCGACCGGAGTATTCGAACGGTATTGTGTGATACAAGATTATATTGAAAAATGACTAAGAAAGTACTTCGGTACCTGAGTTACCATCCTCAGAAGAACTAGAAAGGAAATTAAGATAAGCTCACTCTTTAGTACCCAACAAACATTTTAGGTATAATATACGTCATTTCGACCTTAGAATGGGTCAACGACTTATCTGGCCTGAGTGAATATTACGTCTTATTTACTTCAAATTTACCAATATGGGGAAAAAACTGGAAGTAATTCAGAAGACGAGAATAGGGTTATTAGGGTATCCTGACCAATAGGTCGAGGAAACAATTAGGTGAAATTGCCCTAATTCTAGTCCGATAGTGGTCTGATTTTAGTTATTCTGACGTTATTCATTACCTACTTATGGGTGGGTTCACTAAGATTTCTACCTGGTTTACTGTCATTTGGTTGGGTTCGGAAAACAAATATGTACCGTGTTTCACGATCGACTATACCAACTCATTTACGTGTGGAGACTTAGGAGTTTATGAACATGGCGTTCAAAAGAAAACTCGATTGTAGTGGAAGGTGTAGATAATATGCATGTTGTTTAGCTTATTTGAGGTTGTTGTGAATCGTTATTCAACCTGCGATGCAAAATTTATTGTGATAATGTTGATTTTACACATGTAAAATTAGTGGGCCCACGAAATTATTGGATTTGTAGAAAAATACTGGATGATATTCTTTGTGTTTTCGAATTATTTTTCAACAATTTCATCTAAAAATGAATCAACTGGTAGAATATGATCATATATGCGAAATTTAACCTTTTCTGTATTACTATTCATTAGGATGTGGTCGCTATATAGAGATTTCTTCTTTTTCCGTCAATGGCGAAAAAGGTTCGAGCCAAAAAATATGGCGTCGGTTTCATATTGGACTTGAAAGTCGAATTTTCCAGAATCTTCAACTTTCAGGGCGAATAGGCTTCGTTCATAGTCGAGAATTCTGTATATTCTGACTATGGAGCCCAATTTCCCCATATTGGGATTTTAGACTATATCAACGAGTATATTATTTGAGTAGCAGTCAACCTGATAGATTAATATTATCAGATGTTCCCTATAATCATATAATTTGTTAAATGTTCGTTGTTCGCTTTCAATTTCTTTTTCTGCACCACGGTATGTTTTCTAATTGGTCGCTGGATGACAGGCTTCATTTTTCAGCGAATCAGAAAAGTCCATCGCCGTGTTGTCATCTCTCGAACAGTGTTGCCGTTCTAGTATACTTTTAGTACATTTGCCATTTTTGTACGTTCTCAACCGAAGTTTAATAATTGATACCTGTTTTTTTTTATAAAAGTTATTTGAAATATGCATTCAGATCTGACCAATGGAATAAGTGGAAGTAAAACTTCGAATGTCAAAACAAATTGATGGTTTAGATGATCAAACATCATCGTAATGTATAGATAGATATCATGATTTGCTTTTGAAGCGTTCAAGCGGTAAGCTACCTGAACCACTCACTGGTGATAAGGAATAAAACATTCAAAACTCATACATTGCGCTTGTCTCCAGTTTTCAATGTTTTCAGAAATTAATAATCATTTCAAAACATTTGCCGACCTCAAAGCACCAGGATCAATAATAGTCATCAACTTTGAGAACATGATTTTAGGACTAATTTTGGTATTCTCGGCTCTCTCAAGGACACTTCGTTCTATAAGGATTTCATAGTGGTAATCTTGCCTTCATCGGATATAAAGTTGGTACTGATTAGGTTGAAAAAAGTCTAAGAAACTCCTTCGACTCAATTGGTCAAAAATAGGCAAAACAGAGTATAAATCCGACTTATTCTCTCCACCTGATTATTCCCTGACTTTATGATCGTTTATGAAGTTAGAATTTGGTAAATTTCAACTCCAATAAATATCCTGATAGTTCGAGGGCCTGGAAGACATTTTACTGGTAATTTTGATGTTAAATATTACCTAATTGATAACTAAATGCTCACTAGGACCATGAAGTTATGTCTGAAGTCTGTAATGAGTAGTTTCCAACTATGCAAATTGTCTATAAAGTTGATAGTTTTTATAGAAAATGTTGAGGTCCAAACCAGGCATTTTACAACCTAATCCATAACTTTCAAGTTACTCAGGGCATAAAGGTAAAATATTTTGTCGGAAATTAGTAAATTTCGACTTCTTCGAGTAATTTCTCCTCTCTGCTTGGTATAATTCTCTTAAAATGTTGGTTGGGTATCCTCCTCCGGGAATCATCAACGGGCTGAACTAAACTTCATCAGACGGGCAAATGGACAACTTCATCTGCAGTTCCTTTAGAACGCTTTTACTCGAGATGAACTTCCACGGAGAATTAAGTTCCATTCTAAGATGATCAGTCGATCTAAATGAAAACCTATTAGGAGACCTAGTGTGATTTCATAACTCTCGCCTGCTAACTACTCAACTTGGTAGTCATTTTGAACGACAATGATCTGAAATAATGCTGAGTTATTGTGGCGGGTACATCAGTCCTCAATACGATGAGCAGCGGGTGTGCCAGATTTCATGAAGCCCATGTTGAACCCTTTAATAAACTCTGTTGCAATCAATTTATTGATGTGATCATTTTTTATCAAGGATTAATAATATGTTTCACTTCAAACGTTTCATTTCATTGCCAATAAATAAACTATCTAATTCATTCTCAGGCCTTTATTATACCAGTTTATTTTGGCACCCTTGATAAATTTCTGACTTCGACTAGCTTTGTTGCCGTATAATTCCTCATTTCAAATCGTACTGGTACTTTGAGAGCTTCTGAGAGTTATTTTGGGAAGCAAGGTTCATAATGAGTTAACGTTGACATTCTAGCATCATTGATATGAACTTCGAGTGTGGATGATAGATCATTAAATTTGAAGGATTAGTAACTTGCACTATTTCTGAAACATTACATTACAAATTACATTCCAAAGTTGAAGTAGCTTGAATGGTATGTAGCACCGCAGTTGTAGTTTGAGAAATGTCTGTTTATTCATTTTATCTAAGTTATTTCCAATAATATTCTCATCCAACGGAAGAGTGC